TGCCACATAGGCTCCACCTACGGTGGGTAAGGAGGTAGATGTACGCAGTCTTACCCCTGTACTAAACACAGAGACTGTTACCGGATGACTCATGATGAAAATCGCATCGAAAATCCCATGCAGGTCATCTCTATATAAAATAAATATACAATAGATGCACCAATGTGCAACATGGTATTATATCCTTAACTTCAGCCTGGATGATCAGTTCAAGTCAAACTTTGGCCAATTACAAGTACCAAATACATAGACAACAGAATGAAGTTAGGAGTCCTAAAAAATAGACTTCCTGCATGAGAATGATGCTTAAGAAGATTAAGTTCACCTTCAACACAGAGAGGTATGAATCAGATAGTCCTGTGTACTTTCCAACCATGGCAACTCTTACCTGTTAATCAAATAGCAGTGAGTTTCAGAAAGTGGGAAGAAAATATAGGGGATCAAACTTTAAAAAATTCGAAAGCCTACTGGTTCATGTAGCATGTCACAAAGCTCAGCGCGAGATGTCCATTCTCCCAGTGCAGGCTCCTTTGCAACTCTGAGTGATTTGTGGGAAAAGAAATTATGACTATAAACAAATAGTCAAATAGTTCACAAATCACAATATAAATACTGTGAACACTGTTAAAGAAAAAAGGAATAAAAATTAATAATTGGATGGTATTGCAACAAGAACAAAAAGAGCTTATATAAGACAAGACAAACCCTTCAAGGTTTAGGGCTTTCAAAATGGCCTCATGCGCCTTCTGGTCCTAAAACATGACGGAAAACTGGTATAGGCCACGTTGAATCAACATATAAAGTAAGCATTAAGAAAGAGAGGACTACTTACTCTTAGAAGCAAAGGAACATGCCAGATATTAGAAACATCATTAAGAGTGACAATATTTTCTACCTGGGGATGAAAAGCATGTAGAGGAAACCATAAATGGCCTTACAAGTTTAAATTGCAATATAGACTGATTTCAAGTGGGAGTCACTAAAACATACCGGGACATGGCAAAATCGGGAAAGTTTCTCCTTGACGTTCTCATCCAGTTGCTGATAAATAGAAAATCAATCGCACAAGTTAATTGTGATATTTAGGAAGAAAGAGAATACATACAGTGTGTCTCAGTGTGTAAGTGAGCACCAAATACAAAAAAGAGAGACCTTAGTGCTCCGACATGCTAAAATATGTGGTGTCAATCCTAGGCTTCTCAATCCCTTAACACTGTGCTGTGTTGGCTTTGTTTTCTGGACATTAAAATTCAAAAATACGCTTAATTTGCAGGTTTTAATTATAAAATATGCGATATATAAGTCACATGAAGAGGAAAATTATATTTGCAGCACTCACCTGCTCACCAACCACATTCAAAACAGGCACAAGGCTGACATGTATCAAGCAAAAGTTCCCAGTGCCTAAGAATCATAAAATTCATAAAGATAAATATAAAAATGAGAAAGACATTTATCTTGTGACTAACTTTCCCTCCAATGCATATTAAATTACATTGAGTATACATAATAAAGATTTGTTTTAGCTTCTCCCTTTGTTCTATTTGGACAGCTTACTTACCAACACGATATGAAAATTGTCCTAAAGCCTCGAGAAATGGCATTGACTCAATGTCACCTACACCAAGTAAAAAAATAAAGTTTCAGTTCCACAAACAATAAAAGAAAAAATTAATTGTACCCATGTGAAGAAATGTTTTTATATTACCTATAGTGCCACCCAATTCTATGATACATACATCAGCTGGACCATCTTTACCATCAACTGGTATGACTGCTACGCGTTCAATCCATTCTTGAATGGCATCAGTAATGTGATGAACGACCTAAATACAAGAGTGGTTGCATCACATGTCCAACTAAGTGGCACCCATATGAAAAATGGAAAAAAATGTAGGTACTCCAAAAATAAGTGACACACCATGACAGTTTTACCCAAATAATCGCCTTTTCTTTCCTTTTCAAGAACAGACTGAAAATAAGAACCACTGGTCATTTAAGTTATCTGAGAAGCCAAACAGATAAGAATTTGATGGATCCAGCTTGAACAAGACTTTTGCCGATAAAAACTTTAACAGTAAATACATGCCTGGTAAATTTTCCCGGTGGTTATATTGTTGTCACGTGTCAACTTCACATCTAGGAATCGTTCATAGTTCCCAAGATCTAGATCAACCTAAAAAATCACCAAGTCAAAGTTATGTTGACCAATAAAATACATTGCTTTATAGTTTTATTAAAAACAGATTGTATAACCACATACAATTGAGCTTAGAAATGCGGCATTAGGTTCAATAGGTGTCATATAGGTTCACTAAAAGAGATTTGAATGATTATTCTTCCTTTAAATTGACATTAATATGATTTTCCAGAAAGTATTGAAGTATATCTAGCAAGGGATAGCTGTTTTTGGAGCAAAATTTGTAGCACTCCAAAACTTTTATCCAATAAGTAGGGTGATGAAATAGCATAAACACCAAGATAACTCGAACTACTATCCAACAAAAACAACCAGATAAGTCAGACAGTATGTGCTGATATACAACTTGTTTCCTTTTCCCAAGCTAAATTTAACATGTGCAATCGAAAGAAAAGTGCTCTTCTTACCTCTCCACCATCATCCAAAACAAATACTTCACCATGTTCAAAGGGAGACATTGTTCCAGCATCAATATTCAAGTAAGGATCTGAAGAGAGGGAAAGCCAATTATTTACAAGATAAAAAAAGGTTCCATGAGAAGTGCTTCTCCTAATATAATGAGACAAAAGGTAATAATAAAGTGGTTGCAGGATTATTACAAAAGCAAAGCAAGCAGTTTCAATTGTGGGGAGTGTAAAGCTTAAAACACCAAAGATGGAAAAAGCTAAAAAATATAAGCTTTGTCTTGTTACTAAGGATGAGCTCCGTCCTGTTACTAAGTTAAAAAAAAAAGTTCACATTTTGAGCCTCAGGTCCGCAAAAAAAGCAGCTCAGCCTTGTAGCTAAGCTAAACAGCACTATCTTTCCCATTTCTCTTTTTACTTGACATTTGAGGGTAAAACATGATATGAACCAAGGTTTGAAGAACAGCAATTCACAAGAACAAAAGAGTGGATGGTGTGTGGAGAGAGACCGATCTTAATGGAAGTGACACGAAGCCCGCATGCTTGAAGAATGAGGCCAATACTACTAGCCGTTACTCCTTTTCCCAGGCCGCTCACCACTCCTCCCGTCACCAAAACGTACTTCATCTCTGAGCTACAACAAAACAACAACCAAAATGAAATTCCTCATAATTGCAATACACATACTACAAACATTTCTGCAGTAATACTCTGAACAAATTCCTCAAAAAGAAAAAAAACATTTTAGACGCTCTTGAGCTCATTGATTTCGACTCTAGAAGAAATATTCCCGCTGTCGAGAGAAACAAAAACATCCCCTTTTCCCACAGATTTTAATGCATTACCTTCAACTGTTCTACCCGGCGGAGCTGTGCCAATGCCGGAAGTCACAACCAACCTGACCCAACGGGCGGTAGAGATTTTGGTTTGAAGTTTGGGCGAAAGAGAAAGCTTTGAATGGCGGCTCTACATAAACCCCTCGAGAGTCCAAACCCTGCCTCCGCTTCCACGTTTCAAAATTGCTATGGGTACCTCAATTACTACCCCATTTATACCCCATATATAAACGAAGAAAGTGTCAGTTCAGTACCTTAACTCATGGCGTGTAGCGTAAAGAGTACCTGATGTAGCAAATGAGTTCCAACGGTACACCAACTATCCAATCGCGGGCTAATTTGGTACCTCAGCCCATTACTTCTGCTAACCCGCTGAGGTGGCCAACAGATTACTGATGTGGCCAATCTTTTACTTACTTGGCAAAATTAAACATATTCGGTTGTTAATAGCGCCCAACCCTAACCCCTTACCTCTTGTTACGCCACTTACAAACGAACGGAACGGAGGAAGCGAAGCCATTGTAGAGAAGCTTAGAGCAACTTACTTCTTGAGTTTCAGATGGAGATGGAGTCATCTCTTCAAAGGTATTCATATGTATTTAAGCAATATTTTTATTACCATTCCAAGAATTATATGGTTTAATGCAATTTGTATATACAAGAACTTATACATATGTATTGGTCAGGTGAAGTAAATCTAGGGTTGTGAATTGCTTAAGCATATTATTACAGTGATGAACCCTACTTTTGCACCATTTGTGAAAATGTAAAATGTGTGTATAACAATAGTTTCTTTGTGTGACATGCTTTTAAATTATTTATGAGCAATTAATTGTGTTGGATTGGTTGTTGGTAACATAGTTATTATTGGTGCAGACAAACAATGGAGGGCCCTACTTGTCATGTCCTGTAACACCGTCCCCAAATATATTTACTTTTGTGTAAATAATGTATTGAACCTTATTAAAGGATTAATGAATTTACGAAGTTGTAAATTTTTTATTATTTTTTTCGCGTGAATAGTAAATTGCACGTGGGACCCACACCGGGAGCGGGGGCCGCCCGACACTCCCGAGACCACATATTTTATTCATCTTGGTCAAGATAATATTTATATAGTGGTGGATATTTTATTTGGGTCGTGGAAAGGCGCAGGGTTGACCGATTGGGAAAAAGAGGCCCAATTACCGGTACCGACAATTTAACAGATAACAGCCCGAAAATGAATTTCGGAGGCTTATAAATTAAAGTTGGGGAATGTATATTCATTATACATGTCATAATGAGTAAGAGCACATAATATATTTTATTTGACCCGATAAAATAAAATATATTTAAAACAGTCCGAAAAATACAACTTTCGGGACCGATTGTACACATCGGGACTTAATGGGATGACCTCCCACAAGGGTGGGGGCCACCCCACGTTTTTGTGTGCTCAAAATAAACAAGGAGGTGGCTGAGTTGACAAAGGAAGGAGTGGAGGAGGTGCTTTTGGCATCTAAGGTACATGGAGGACCCCCCTCCCTCACTCATTTGTCAATTAAGACAAAAGTGAGACATCCCCTCTCCCTCCAACCATTGAGCTCGACCAAACCATCCAAGGGAGAGAGAAGGAGCTTCAAAATCACCTCCATTGCTGCAAATTTGAGCTCAAGCTTTAGTGCTCAAAGGAAGAAGATTAAAGAGGGAAAAAGTTGGGAAAAGTGTGAACAATTAAGGTAATGACCTTATATTAACTTTTCCTTTATTTTTCTTCCACCATATGAAGTATATATCATATGAAGAACCTTTAGTATGGTTCAATATGTTATAAGTATGGATTTATGGGGTGGAAGATGGTTCTAAGTCCAAGAACGGACTTAGAAGCCAAAACGACCGGTTCACCGGAAAATAACCTTTTTGAGGTTATTTGTATTAATATGGGTTTTATGATTATAAAACCTTGTTAGGCACTTGTAAAGGGTATTTCAAGTGATTTCACAAAGTTGGAAAAAGTCGTCGGAGTTGTCGCCGGAGTTGACCAAGTCGCCGGAGTTTCACCGGAGTTCAACCAAGAAGGGTAGAACTTCTTAACGCTAGTTCAAGGTGAGTGGACGGCTTAATATCTTATAACTTTTGGGTTAATTATGAGATTACCTAAATAAATGTTATATGTGTTCAAAATGATGTTTAAAAGATATTTAAACATGTGATTAGCCAACATTATCAAGTTGTATGAAAAGAATTAATTGATTATGCATGAAATATGATATGAGAAATTATATAAAATGCACATTAGCTTGAAGTGTAAAAGAAGCTCAAATGAGTATTATTGACTTAATTATATGATGATTAAGTTGATATGTACAAGGCTTGAATTGGCGGTCAACGACAACGTTGACCGATGGATGATGGATTAATTAATATCGGTTGATGTTAGTTAATTATACAATTATATAAATGCATGGCTTTGCATGGATTGTGATACATAAGATTTATGTATTGGATTAGTTATGAGTAACTAAGGATGATATAGACTCTATCTAGGTTGATAGGAGGTTGATCCTAGGAAAACTTGGTGGAGGACCCTAGTACTTAAAAAGTACTTAACACTCAAACTTGGTGGAGGACCCTAGGACTTAAAGTCCTTAACACTCAAACTTGGTGGAGGACCCTAGGACTTAAAGTCCTTAACACTCAAACTTGGTGGAGGACCCTAGGACTTAAAGTCCTTAACACTCAAACTCGGTGGAGGACCCTAGTACTTAAAAAGTACTTAACACTCAAAAACTTGGTGGAGGACCCTAGGACTTAAAGTCCTTAACACTCAAACTTGGTGGAGGACCCTAGTACTTAAAGTACTTAACACTCAAAACTCGGTGGAGGACCCTAGGACTTATGAGGCCTTAACACTCACAAACCGGTGGAGTATCCGAGGATGTTGATCCTAAAACTCATAAATTATGATATACAAATAGGGACAAGGAGGAGTCCTATACACTCATAGGTATATGGGTGGGTTGGGGTTTTTAGTCAAGAATATTGACTAATACTATTTTTCCCAAATAAAATGGTGATCTACGGATCGGATATTTTCCAAGTATATATATACTAATAAGTATTTCATAACTTGGGGGAAAGACTATCTATTTAAGTATCACCCTATGTTTGGGTCTTATACTTGAAACGCTAGTTATTCTATATTTAGCCTGCTACTCGCTCGGTACTTGTACTGACCCCTTCGGGGGGCCCCACCATTTTCAGGTTGAAGCTAGGGCTTGCTACTTGCACCTTCTCACGGGTGATATCAAATCAGGAAGACGTGGTTCGTGCTTCCTTATTTTCTTTCAAACTACCGAACACTTGCTCATGGATATTTGTTCTACTATAAACTATTTTTGGGGCTTGCATGCCCATGTTGTTGGCCGGTTGTGGCTTATGACTTACCGTTGAATATTTCCGCTATTCATTGGTTTAAATGTGATGTTGTTATGTATGTTTACTACTGAGTATGGATGGATTGTTTTCTCGAACGCCTTGTGTAATTAAGTGGGGTTGACTCGCGGGTGACGTCACTTAATTATACGGCGGTTGTACACGCGCTTGGATTGCGGTCTGGGGCGTGACATGTCCCCTTTGTTGTTGATCTGGGCTTCGAAGATCCTGTTATTGAGGCAGAAGCAGGCCTCTTATTTGAAGAAGAGTATAACTCAGAAAATGAAGATGATGAGGAACTAATTCATGGTAGGAGTCTGCTAAGGAAGCTGGTCACCAATTCAAGGATTCATAAGCAACCCCAAGGTCAAAATACTGATAACCAACCCACAGTTGAAGAAGAGGAAACCTGGGAGGAAGATGGTTATGAAACTGAATACTACAGTTCTAGTGAAGAAGGAAGCTACAAATCTGGTTCAGATCCTGAAGAAGAAGAGACTGTAAGAGTGAAATCCAGATTTCCAAGCTTCAATCCTGAAGATAAAGTCTCCTTTTCTTTGGGAATGAGCTTTGAGTCAAAAAGTGAAGTGAAAGATGCCATGGATAAATACTCTGTCACCAACAGGTATCCCTATTATTGGGCAAAGAATTGTGCCAACATGCTTAGGGCCAAATGCTCTAATTTGAACAAGGAATGTACTTGGATGGTCTACATTGCAATAGACAATAGGTGTAGCAGTAAGAAGTGGGTGGTCAAGACTTATCAGAGTGAGCATAGTTGTAACCCCGGTTGGCAGCTACCCTGTGCCACAGCAAAGTGGTTAGTCAAGAATTTTTTCAATACTAAGCCAGGAGTATGTGAGATGAAGGTGGCTGCAATGAAAGAAATGGTTAAGAGAGAACTGAACTGTGAAGTTTCCTTGGAGCAAATGAAGAAAGCGAAAGCAATGCTCAGAAAGTTGGAAAAGGGGGATATAGAGGCAGAGTACAAGGATTTGGAGGATTACAAGGCTGAAATTATGAGGTCAAATGAAAGAAATACATGCATTCTGCATGTGAAGCAGCCCACTCCAATTTTTGACAGATTTTATGTATCTTTTCATGCCTGCAAAAGAGGATTCCTCGAGGGATGTAGAAGACTAATTGGAATTGATGGAGCTTTTTTGAAGTCTGAAGTGAAGGGAGAAATTCTTACAGCTGTGGGAAGGGATGCCAATAACCAGATGTTTCCAATAGCATGGGCAGTTGTGGGTTCTGAAACAAAAGCCACATGGAAGTGGTTTCTTGAAAATCTAGGTAGTGATCTCAACATAGGAAGAGGAGATGGCTGGGCTTTTGTTTCTGACCAACAAAAGGTTAAGTTTCAAAGTTGTGTTCTTACTGTATGTTATATTGTGCCTGCTTTGTATGAGTGTAGTAAAGATTTAAAGATTTGTAATATGAGTTTAGTAATATGAGTTTAGTAATATGGAATTTTTAAGTTCTTTAAATTTGTTTTCCTTTTGCAGGGATTAATGCCTGCTTTGTATGAGACATTTCCAGATGTTGAGCATAGAAGATGTGCGAGACACATATATGCAATATGGAGAAGAGGCCACCCTGGAATTGAATTACAAAGAGCATTTTGGAAGTGCTGCAAGTCTGCTTCCAAGAGGGAGTTTGAAGCAAACCTAGAATGCTTGAAGTCTCTTTCTGCTTCTGCACATGAAGACATTCTCAAGGTAGATCCTAAGTTCTGGTGCAGAGCTTTCTTTAATAGAAGCATTAAGTGTGAGACTGTTGATAATAATTTATGTGAAGCCTTTAATGGAGTTATAGTTCCAGCTAGATCTCTATTAGGTTATTCCCAGTTGGAGTATATGAGGAAATTGGTCATGCAAAGACTGAACAAGAATAGAGAATTAGGACATAAGTGGATTGGGCAGTTAGGGCCTAGAATTAGAAGGAGGATCAATAAAACAATACAAGCAAGCAACTATTGGAGGGTGCAATTTAATGGAGCAGATGGCTATGAAGTGTCATGTGGGTCTGAGACTTATCTTGTGGACTTGGACAATAGGAGTTGTCTATGTGAGCAGTGGGATGTTTCTGGGATCCCCTGTAAACATGCAATTTGTGCCATTAGGGATAGAGTTCATCCAATTGAGGACTATGTCTCTCTATGGTACAAGAAGGAAATGTATACTCACACTTATTCTGAGATGATGACACCCATAGCTGGCCCTTTATTCTGGCCAAAGACTGACTTGAAAGTGTTACCTGCTGAGTTGAAAACAAAAGAGATGGGAAGGCCTAGGAAAAATAGAATAAAAGAAATTGGGGAGTTTGCTTCTAGTGGGAAGTTGCCAAAGAGAGGCACAGCCATGACCTGTCAGCTATGCTTCAAAAAAGGGCACAACAAAAAAGGGTGTCCTTCAAAAGAGGTGATTATGCAAGGCTCAACTACTTTCCCAAGTGAAATTCAAGGTGACAGTGGTAACACTGGTGTGATGGATCAGACCCCTCCTGATGTGCAACCTGGGAGTTCCAACCCACCAAAAAGAACATGTGGAAACTGCTCCCAACCTGGGCACACTAAGAACAGGTGTCCTAACAAGAATATCTTAATTCAGGTATGGATAATATTGAATGTAATGTAAATGGTTTATGTATTCAAGTGTTAAATTGTTAAAGCAACCACTTATTTGTATGTGCTTTGCAGGAAAGTAACACTGCATCTATGACTACACAAGAAGAAAATGGAGGTCCAAGTAGGTTGCAAGCATACTTGTGTGACACGCAGGGTACAATTGAAACAACCACTAATGGTGTATTTGAGTTCAGGGGGCAAAGATCAATAAGTGCTCAAGGTTTGGAGGTAATGACATTTACATATATGGTAGTATACTGCCAATTTGTGTGATGGTGTGTGTCATGCAATTTACATTTGACTTTTACAGAGACTTAGAGCAAGGAAGGCTAAGGAGAGGAATGTGAATGCTCAAAGTTTAAGGAAAAGGCATGCTGAGGATGTGGAACCTACTGGGACTTCAACAACTGCACGCCAAAGGTTTAATGAGCTGTATGATTCCATGGAAGGCAATGCTGGGCAGTAGACTCTGAAGTTATGGGTGTAACCATGTAGTAGTTGATGCAACAATATTTAATTACTAGCTAGGAAGATCCTACTACAAGTTTTTCATATATCTTGGTGGTGTTTTGGATCATATGCTTTTTTGAGATGTATTAAGGGTACATGCTTCAAAGTAGTTTATGGTATTGCTAATGTACCTTAAGTAGTGACTTTAGAGCTAGCTACTGTATTTTGGTATCTTGTTTGTGTGGTCTGTGTGCCACTTATGGTTGCAGGAAAAGCTCTTATCTGGTTGTTGTAAACTACTTCAGGATTTCATGACTTATTAATATATATTTGTGGTCATGGTGTACTACAACTTGCCAGATTCTGTTCATTATGTGATATTGTGATTAATTCATTTTGAAAATTGAGTTAAGAGTATTTGAGATTGATTTCGACTGATATGATGTTGAATATCAGGCCATATGTTAAGGTTTGAGGTCTGTTTTGACCCAAAATGTTCAGTTCAGTAATTTGAGGTGTAGTTGGACTGATATGATGTTGAATATTAGCCCATATGTTAAGGTTTGAGGTCTGTTTTGACCCAATATGTTCAGTTCAGTAATTTGAGGTGTATTTGGTCTGATATGATGTTGAATATTAGCCCATATGTTAAGGTTTGAGGTATGTTTTGACCCAAAATGTTCAGTTCATTAATTTGAGGTGTAGTTGGACTGATATGATGTTAAATATTAGCCCATATGTTAAGGTTTGAGGTCTGTTTTGACCCAATATGTTCAGTTCAGTAATTTGAGGTGTATTTGGTCTGATATGATGTTGAATATTAGCCCATATGTCAAGGTTTGAGGTATGTTTTGACCCAAAATGTTCAGTTCATTAATTTGAGGTGTATCTGGACTGATATGATGTTGAATATTAACCCATATGTTTAGGTTTGAGGTCTGTTTTAACCCAAATTGTTCAGTTCAGCTTGCAGGAGTATTTGGACTGATATGATGTTCAATATCAGTCCATATGTTCAGGTTTGAGGTCTGTTTTGACCCAAATTATTCAGTTCAGCTTGCAGGTGTATTTGGACTGATATGATGTTCAATATCAGTCCGTATGTTCAGGTTTCAGGGCATTGTATGACTCCCAATTTTCAGTTCAGCTTCGAGGTCTATTTGGACTGATATATTCTTCAAAATCAGACCATATTTTCAGGTTTCAGGTCATTTAACATTGAATATGATGTTATAACTTTTGCTGCAAATATGAATTCAACTTGTAGTTCATTCAACATGGATACCAGTCAAACACATTACAACACTACTCATACATCAAACTCATGATCTGTCATAATTGACACACAAATGAAACTCATTATCAATCAAATACATTACAACACTACTCATACATCAAACCAAAGAAACTCATACACCTAAATTACATCAGAAAGTCATACATGAAACCTAACAAAATGATACATCAAACCAAGAGCTACTGACAGATCAAATCTAACTAAGTCATACATGACTTCCTAAAACACACACGTACTTTAGATTATATAATAACTGAAACTCTACTCTAACTTCCATTCCCAACTAATCTGTGCCAGCATCACACATCTTCAAAGCTACCCTTTTCTTGGTTTCACTGTCATACCAAAGAGCCCATATGACTAACAGAACTGATCCAGCAAGAATGCACCACAACACAGTCCAAAACCTCTGTTTTTTGGACAACCCTTTTTCCTTTGCCTTCTCATCAGCAACCTCAGCTTCCAATCTGTTTATTTTCCTCAACAAGCCAGGAATAATCATCTTAGACCTATAACACATTTCCTCATCAAGCCATTCGAACATGTTGCAGCACACACCAGTAACCTAATAGAATATCAAAAAAATTAGGACATATTATAAGTTACATTAGAAGGCATATTACTACTCATATTACAACTAATATTACCAGTCATATAAGAAGAGATTTTACATATCATACAAGGCATATCAGTACTAAAAATTAAAAAAAAAAAACACAATCCTTCCATGGCATTACCCTTGAGCACGCAATGAATCGTCTCCCTGGATTGTCATTTGTCCATGAAGTCAGTATCTTAGCTGGAATCCCACAGTAGCAATTTCCATAAGCCATTTGCGTTATTCCCAAACCTGAAAAAGAAACAAATTTGTTAGTTCGAACTCACCGTTTACCACACCTAAGTAAAACGCCGGAAGTGAAACAAGAAGAGAACCGCAGGAGGCAGTATGCGTATGCCGCCGGAGGAGATAAAAAGTACAGATGCGCAGGAGGGAGGAAGATGTATTTACTAGGGTTGGGTTCGTTCGTAATGTAAGAAGAGGGGGACGCTAACTTGGAGGGCAGCTTAATTTTGCCAAGTAAGTAAAAGATTGGCCACATCAATAATCTGTTGGCCACCTCAGCGGGTTAGCAGAAGTAATGGGCTGAGGTACCAAATTAGCCCGCGATTGGATAGTTGGTGTACCCTTGGAACTCATTTGCTACATCAGGTACTCTTTATGCTACACGCCACGAGTTTAGGTACTGAACTGACACTTTCTTCATATATAAACCATCCCTCTTTTTTTACCTCACTCCCTTCCCCATCTCAAATTTTTACCCCCAGCTCTTCTTTCCTTCCAAAACTCCAGCCCAACCAGCCCCTACTCCCGGCTTACTCCCCTGCGACTTCGAACCACCCAGATCCGACCATCCCGCCACAACACCGGCCAACACCACCTCTCGTTTCGCCCTCCCCTCGTCTCACCTTCCCCTCTTTTGCTTATTTTCGTTTCAAAGAGAGAGAGCTACAATGCTATGGTGAAAGGAGGTCATCCTTGAACTCCATTTGCAACCCTCTTCAATGGAGTTGAGCTACCACTCTCTGCACATTTCCTTCCCAGTATTCCTCTTTTCTCCCCTTTTTCATCTTTCTTCATTTTTTATTATTTATTTTTTATTTAATGTGTCATAATCTATATATCTTGTAATGTTGAATTGTTTAATATGTTGTGTTATTGTAATGGATTTGTGATGTTATTTCTTAAAATTTAGTCCAACTATTCTAAGTCATTAATATGCCCATAACATGTTTGTTGAAATGCCTATACGAATTTTTTGTTCATGTCCTATGTTTTAAGGATTTTGGATTTTGTTTTACTAGTATAGTTTTCAACTTTAAATTGTGCATATTGTTGTCTGGTGTATTACTTGAAGTGCATATATGGTTGATTTCTCTTAGTAGTTGGTAATGGCTTAGTAGTTTAAAATTGGTTTGTAGTTGTCTGTCATGTGAAATTAGTTGTCTGGCAAGCCATTTGAGTTGTCTGTCACTTCATTTTGAACTGTCGAAACTAGGTTTGTAGTTGTCTGTCATGTGAAATTAGTTATCTGGCAAGCCATTTAAGTTGTCTGTCACTTCATTTTGAACTGTTGAAACTAGGTTTGTAGTGGTCTGTCGTGTGAAATTAGTTGTCTGGCAAGCCATTTGAGTCGTCTGTCACTTCATTTTGAACTGTTGAAACTAGGTTTGTAGTTGTCTGTCATGTGAAATTTGTTGTCTGACAAGCCATTTGAGTTGTCTGTCACTTCATTTTGAACTGTTGAAACTAGGTTTGTAGTTGTCTGTCATGTGAAATTAGTTGTCTGGAAAGCCATTTGAGTTGTCTGTCACTTCATTTTGAACTGTTGAAACTAGGTTTGTAGTTGTCTGTCATGTGAAATTAGTTGTCTGGCAAGCCATTTGAGTTGTCTGTCACTTCATATTGAACTGTTGAAACTAGGTTTGTAGTTGTCTGTCATGTGAAATTAGTTGTCTGGCAAGCCATTTGAGTTGTCTGTCACTTCATTTTGAACTGTTGAAACTAAGTTTGTAGTTGTCTGTCATGTGAAATTAGTTGTCTGGCAAGCCATTTGAGTTGTCTGTCACTTCATTTTGAACTGTTGAAACTAGGTTAGTAGTTGTCTGTCATGTGAAATTAGTTGTCTGGCAAGCCATTTGAGTTGTCTGTTACTTCATTTTGAACTGTTGAAACTAGGTTTGTAGTTGTCTGTCATGTGAAATTAGTTGTCTGGCAAGCCTTCTGAGTTGTCTGTAGGGTATTCAATTCAACATTTATTACAATACATAAATTGTCTGTATTAGTGTCGTAAATATCTGTGTTGGTTATACTTGTCTGTCTACAGGTCCGAAGAATGTGGAGCGATGGTTGCATACGCCGTTCGTTTGTATAGGAACAAGAGATGTCAATACGCCGTTCGTTTGTAGCGATTGAATAGGGTGGAAAAAGCTTAGGAATTCCTTAGAAATGTGGGAATGTTTTTATGGGTTGTTTAATGTCTGTGTGACCAGACAACTTTATTTGTTTGTGTAAGTAGAACAAATGTCTGTATTCACATGCAAGTATTTCACATATGTATTATAATGTACGTTTGATGAGTTGAGTAAGTGTTAATGTAGTTTTTATATAAATGTGAGTGCTTTTGTTTGGAAACATTGTTGTATTTGGCCGAATATAAAGATAATTGTTTGTCTCTAGAGACGAAAAGATAATTGTTTGTATGTAGGGACGAAATGATAATTGTTGAAGGGAACATGTATATTTTTCTGAAATAACACATGAAGAGAAGTGCACAGAAGTCACGCCTCAAATGAAATTCATGATTGGACCGTATTAACGCCCTGTGTCTATGATAAGGGGTCGGATTTGAACCTTCGGTTATTGTAAATTAGCAGTGTATGTAGTTTGGAATGAACAATTACTTGTGGTCTTGAAAATTATGTGTTTGTCTTATGGTATATTTCTTCTACAGCTAGACAACTTAATTGCCAGATAGACAAAATGTATACCTAAAAATACTATACGCACACACGTACACACAACTATGTCATACACAGACAGATAAATTGCATCCGTAGACAGACATTACATAATAATTAAATAAAAACATATGTAAAAGTTCACAACATAACAAAAAAGGTTTCATTTATACTTGACAACCTAACATAACCCAATGTACAACATTGCACAACTACATACTCGCATTTACTTGAATGTCACATTTGTAAGGTTTGCAACATATTCAAAAACAAAAAAAATCTCATCCAATTATTGAACATTGTACAACATTAACATTAACGGTTGTACAATATTCCGCACATTTTGTAGACAGACATCCATAATGTTTGCAACTGCATTAAACAACCCATAAAAACATTTCCACATTTCTAAGGAATTCTTATGCTTCTTCCACCCTCTTCAATCACCACAAACGAACAGTGTATTGACATCTCTTGTTCTACATGTCTGC